ATGAGGCGGTAAATCTTCACGGAAGTAGATTGCCAGTCTTCCTCCCACAAAGTGGCTGGTGGGTTTGAACTACCAACCTTCTGATTAACAGTCAGATGCCTTAGGCACTGAGCCACCAGAGCTGCTCAGACAGGCATACCAAACCAAACCAAACTCACTGCCATTGAGTTGGATCCGACTCATAGTGACTCCTCCTTGGGTTTCTGAGGAAGTGTTAGTACGGAAGTAGATTGCCTGGTCTTCCTTCCAAGGAGTGGCTGGTGGGTATGAACTACCAGCCTTCTGGTTAGCAGTCAAATACCTTAGGCATTACGCCACCAGAAACTAGTATTTACAATACATCACAAAATAGAGACCAATGGCTAGAAGGGCCACAACAACTAGTTCAGTGCATTGCAGTAGTTATAATTTGAAGCCTAGTGAACTTTCCAATAAATACTGTGTTTTGGATACCATGTTTTTTAAGATAACAACTTTTATACAGCTGATAGCTATTACATGGGCTTATTATGTACAAGTCATTCTTGTAAGAAGCTGTGATTGATATTGGAGAATGAGTAATATATAGTTCCTGTACTGTAGGAACATACAGTTTGGGTCACAGTTTTAAAATCCTTTTTAAGGAAGTATGATAGTGAGTTTAACTCACTCAGTTTCAGTGAATTAAATCCTCTGGAATGATACAGCAAATCTCTGATAGAATTGAGGCTAAGAATGAAATATATTGAAAATCAGCAAAGCATTCCCTGCCCTTAGTGGCATTCTTTTTGTGATAGAGTATATTGGGATACATTTTATTTTTTTCTGTACATACTGTGAACATTCTAATGCTTTATGTGTGTTAAAAATAGTTTAAATTGCTTATAAAGGAAATAATTCTTTGTTATGTCTTTTTATAGTACTGTATCAGCCCCAAAAAGGCTTCACTATATCTTGATACTTACAGAGAAAATTATAGGGAAAAAAAGAAATCAGGGAAATGTCTGATTAATGTTCATCTTTGTACTTACACAATATGTGAGGAATTTAAAGGCAATTATTATGGCACATTACATTGGAAAATAAATATCCAGTTATATAATAATAGAGAAAGCCATAAAATATATGGATAGTATCAGTGTTTCTATTTATAAGTATGTCCCTGATTGTTAATTATATTCTACTTATAAGGGCAGTTTTTGAAAGTTGCCTCACTTAATTAGATGTGCCACTAATAGTTCTACTGTTGTGTACTTTCGGCTAAGTTTCTAAACTTCTTGTTGTAGCGTACAAGGTCTTTTAATGTCTAAGACATGCCTACTTTTCTACCTTTTTGCTGCACCATTAGCTGTCACACTTAACTCCAGCTTTTATGCTGTCTATTCGTACGTATTTAATGCTTTTTGTGTATGCTAGTGAGTCTCACAGGCAGATTAGGGGCATCTGTTCTTTCTCTGATGTGTACCCTGAATGGTCCTATAGTGTGTGATTATGTAGAGCATGCTTATCTTCATTAGTAGACTGTGAATTTAATGAGGACAGATGTTCATTTGTCAACCAGTATTCCCAGTACCTACTTTGGTGCTTCTTTTGTAGTTAATCTTAGATGTGTGGATTTAAATAACTGAATTGAGGCTTAGATGAGACATTTGAACTATTTAAAAAGTCAATTACTTTTACATAGGAAAAAAAAAGAAAGAGCTCATAACTTGACTATTATACCCTGTGAGTGCTTGCCTCCTTAAAGTTTGGAATAAAATGAGTATGTTGTATAAAATTAATCGAGGGGTAGGGGGTGGGACACTATTCAAACTGTGTTTCTCTGTTATTATTGAATATTACTATTACTGTATTTCATTAATTTACCTATCCTCCAATGGATATAATCTACTAAAAATCACAATTTGATATTTATATTCTGAGATGTTATACAATGAAATGCTTTTATATGATCTTTTTAACCATGGTCCTGTAAATCCCACAAAATGATTGTCAGGGACTATGAAAATTGAGTGACTTATGGTCTACCAAGGGGATTTGTTAGTTCATAGTGGGAAAACCATGCCATGAAATTGACAAGAAGTAGGCTTATGTAAGGACCAATCCTGTAGAGGTTTGAGAGGACTTAGCTACTATCAAGAAGAGTCTAGAGTAGAGTGTGTTCTTTGGACCAAGGACCCAGCATCCCTGCACAAAGAACCTCCTAGACCTAGAAGAAAGAATAGACACTGAAGATGACATGAGATGGCAAAACACGGAGACAGTGGGTTTGCTGGCCTACAGAGTGAGGTAGCTGTGGTGGGCATGCTGGCCCATGGAGCCAGACCTGAGCACTTTTGGGCAAGAGACTTGGTGGTGGAGCTAAAAGAGCTGTAACATTTGCCTATGCAGGATACAGGCCTTAGTATGCCCCGTGTACAGGTTGCCTTGGTGTATCCTGTGCAGGGGTTTTCCTGTTGCAGGAAGGAACCAGATGCCTCTTGACAGAAAGCCTGCTAGTGGAGCTGAAAGCCCTGTAACACTTGCTTGTCCAGGACAAGAGAGGCCCAAGTGCGCCCCATGCAGGGCTTTCACACCTCCCTTCCTGGGCAGCAGAGGCCTGGGTAGTGTGACAGCTAGAGAACCTCATAGACCTTGGTAGCATGGTGGGAGCCAGCAGTAGAGGCCAAAGAGGCCCAGTGGTAGAGCAGAAGCCTTGGGCAGCATATTGGTAGCCCTCGGCAGCAGTGACATGAACACAGCATCAGACTTGAACCACAGTACACCTACCCACCAACATAAGAATGGACGTCGGTAATTTGGTAAAGAGTAAGCATTTCTCCTTTGGGAATCTATTGCTATTGTTTACTGTTTCCCTTTTATAAATAACAGTAATGGCTTTCACTTTGTCAACATTGTGTGTTCTTGTGGTGGACCTGATCATAGATGAAAGTAGCACTCATAGAATGGTTGATGCCAGTGGGTGTATATGTCTCATTCCTAGCAGTCTTATGGCTGCTTGGAAATTTGAGGTGCAGCTTGTTGACATATGCAGTGCAGACAGAAAGACATGAGCATACATAGGATTATTTGGAACCATGAAAAATAAGAAAGTGGAAAACAGTTCTTCCCACTAAGCAAAACAATTCTGTCCTACACAAATCCCAGAAGAGAATGTTGTTTTTCTCTCTAAAAAAGATGTGTCTCTGTAGATACCATGTAATGATTATTCCAAGAGAATTGTCTGTGACTATACTATACTTTAAATTATCTGAAGCCCAGTAAATAGTATATTATAAAGTGCCAATAGTAAATTCAGAATTTAAATTATCTAGTCATATTGTAAGAAGATTACATTTTTGTTTATAGACGTTTTTATAATACTTTTTAAGATACAACTTATTATGGAATCTTTGGAAGACATACATCCTATAAATTGGGCTAAAGCCAGAAGAACAAACACATCTATATTGGAGGAAGTACAGACAGTAAGCTCCTTAGAAGCAAGGATGGTGAGACTTTGTCTCATGTACTTTGGACATGTTATCAGGAAGAACCAGTTCTTCCTGGAGAAGGACATGATGCTTACTAAAGTACAAGATGAGTGAAAAAAAAGGACCTTCAACGAGATGGACTGACAGAGTGGCTACAACCACGGGCTCAAACATAGCAATGATTGTGAGGATGGTGGCAGGATCAGGCAGTGTTTCGTTCTGTTGTACATAGGGTTACTGTTTGTCAGAGCCAAATCTATGGCACCTAATAACAGCAACAACAAATCAGCAGTACAGGTTCTTGTATTTTGATTAATTCTCATAGCTTTATTTTTTCATTGCTAATTTACTGGTAATTCTTTCTGCAGTTTCAGGGTAACAGCTACTAAGTTACAGGAGTAGTAGCATCATCAGAACATCTGACTATTGCAAAAGAAAGTTAACTATCTAAAAGTTGGAGAGACCATTCCAGAGGTCTTAAAAATATTTTTGGTCCTTTTTTTTTTTTTTAAATACATGCATATTAGCATCTTAATGCATGTTGTTTCCAACCAAATAAATCTATTTTCAAAACAGAGATTATTTAAGAGATTTGGCTTGCTTTCTTTTTCTTGGTGAATGTGCCAAAGGTCTGTTTTCTATAAAGCTTGTGTCTGTTTCAACTTACTATTTTGATTATGAGTAGTTTATTACCCAGATAGATTTTTAAAAATAGAATATTTGCTAAAGAGCTTTTATATATATGGGTGAGTGCATATTTTAGAATGATTTAGTATTTATAAATAACATGTAAGATATTATTAAGAACACTTAAGTAAAACATATAATGCCTTTAAAAAGGGAAAGGAAAAAAGATGATAATATTCTGAGCATCTCCAGTAAAGAAGTGAGTGAGGGGAACATCTTCAAATGCTGATTTGGCTACTCTTTTATTACTTTTTAGGAATACTGCCTTGGGATTCTGCTTCTGCACACTGGCTTATACCTTTTCATATTAGGGGCGTGAACTTCCTGGGGGGCAGTTCTTTTATGTTTGAAATTGCTCAGAGTTTCCATCTGCTTTTACTTGACTTGTGGTCTTGAAGATCATGCTTGGCCCATGGGATATTACAGTGTGCCGAGAGGATGTGGAGTTTTGTCAGCCAGTGAAATATGTCTGGTTTTTTCTTTTTCCTTTTGCTTTTTTTCTTTTTTTTTAAGCAGCTTTCATACGCTTCTCATCCTGTGTGGTCTTCACTACACAGCATTTATATTTAACAGAACTATTCACCCTCTTTATCATTTTCTATGACTTGCCTTTTTTAAGGAGAAGGTGTTTGGAAGGAATGCCCAAGCCAAACTGTAATCTTGGCAATAGGGAAACATAAAAACGAAAGTTTAAAGTAGTGTTATATGTGAATGTACTTCAGTATTTATAAATGCCTATTTTGTAGATTCAGAAAAATATCAAATTAAAGATATGTACAAATGGAAAAAAAAAATTCTTATGCCAACAGTAGACCTGCAAGTTTGTGGGAGCTCCAGATGACCTTTTCTGTTTGTTTTCAGGCATTACTGCAGTCTTCAGTTAAACAACAAGTAGAAGCTATTGAAAAACAGTACATCTCTGCAATCGAGAAACAAGCACACAAGTGTGAGGAGCTGCTAAACGCTCAGGTGATAAAAGTGCAAGTCTGTCATGTGTTTACACTTTTCTTCTAACTCCCCGCCCCTGAGAGCTTTAACCGTTTATTCAGTTTCGTGTCATTTACCCTCCTTGGTGTATTTTGGAGGAAAATATGCTTATGTAAACTCAAAGTTAAAGTTTGGGAATTTTATGATAGACTCAAAATAGGACTAAAGGCCTAGAAGATGTGGGTCTCCTGAACATGAATGATAATTCTTACATTAAATACTGAATTAAATATTACTTACCAAATAGCAGATGCAAAAAGGTACCTTTGAAAGTATTAGGTCACTTGAAATTTTTTTTTCTCATTTTTGCGTAAGAGTTATAAATAAAATTTAAATTTTTATTTATTTATTATGTTTTAGCTCTTTTTAGTCTGTGTATATCTATGTGGTATGATTTCTCTATTGAAATTTTTTCTCTTTTCTTCAATAAATGCCTTAGAAGGCTTAAATGATTAGCTGATTTACATTAAATAATCAATTTAAATTTAACATTCATAATATAAGTAATGTATGCAAGAAGTTCCCAACAACACCTTTGAAAAAAATAAAAGGAGGTGAAAATTAAATAAGCTATTTAAAGAAGCTGTTTCATATTATGGGAAGGAAATTTACTAAGAATTAGAAAAACAAAATTAGGAGTAGTAATAGTTCTCTGGGTGGCATAAACATTTTTCACTCACCTACTAATTTAAAAATTGATAGGTTCAACACTATCCAGCACACAGCAAAAGAAAGCCCTAGCCATCTACTTTCATAAACTTCACAGCCCAGAAAACCCTTTGCAACAGTTCTACTCTGTAGTGTATGGGGTCACCATGAGTTGAAGTCAACTGGATAATAACAGAGTATGGGATGGCTAACTACTGTTTTGTGCAAATGCAGTTGGGTTTATGATCAGGAATATTTATGCTGTCAGTAAGGCTTCCAATCCACAGTAAGCTATTAGTAGTTAAGTTTTTAGAGAGTTAAAAGTTATATGCAGATTTTCATCTGCGTGGGGAGTCAGCACCCTTAACTTTCACATTGTTCAAGGGTTAACTCTACTATGTTTTGAGATCAGGGGTGTGAGACCTCCTGGTTTGTCTTTCTTCTTCTATATTGCTTTGACTGTCTTGGACCTCTCTCTTTCGAATATACACTTGGTAATTCGTTTTGCCATCACAGTAAAGAATGTTGTTGGAATTTGGTTTGGGATTGCTTTGTATTTGTAGATCATTTTAGATAGTTTGGTATTTTTACAATATTAAGTCTTCCAATCCATGAGCACAGAATATTCTTCCATTTACGTAGGACTCTTTTAATCTCTTGTGGTATATTTTATAGTGGTCAGTGTGTAAGTCTTTTACATCCCTGGTTAGGTTTATTAGGTATTTTTTCCATTTTGAAGGCTATTGTAAATGGTATTGTTTTCTTGACTTACTTTTCAGATTTCTCCCTGTTAGTATAAAGGAATCCAGCTGATTTTTGTGTATCTTGTGCCCTGCAACATTTTTGAATTCTTTTATTAGCTCCAGAAGCTTTCTTCTCAAATCTTTTAGATTTTCATGTATAGGATTATGTCATCTGCAAATACGATAGTTTTACTTTCTCCTTTCCAATGTGTTGTTATTGTTGTTGTTAGGTGCTGTTGAATAGGTTCCCATTCATAGTGACTCTGTATACACAGAACAAAACGCTGCCTGATTCTATGCCTTCTTCACAGCTGTTGCCGTGTTTGAGTCCATTGTTCTAGTCACTGTTGTCAGTTTGTCCATTGAGGGTCTTCCTGTCTTTCACTGACTCTCTACTTTACCAACCATGATGTCCTTCTCCAGAGACTGGACCCCCGAAAAGGTCCAGAGAACATGAGATGAAGTCTTGCTATGTTTGCTTATAAGGTGCATCCTAGCTGTACTTCTTCCAGTATAGATGTGTTTGTTCTTCAGGCAGTCCACAGGACATTCAGGATTCTCAATTTGGCTAGACTTTATTTCTTTTTCATACCTTATTGCACTAGCTAGGACTCCAGTACAATTTTGAGTAAGAATGGTGATAAAGGGCATCTTTGTCTCATTCCCATCTCAAGTCGAAGGCTCTAAGTCTTTCTCCATTGATAATAATAATATCAGCTGTTGGTTTTGCATATGTGCCCTTGATTATGTTAAGGAATTTCCCTTTTATTCCTATTTTGCTGAAAGTTTTACCAGGAAAGGGTGGTGAATTTTATCAAATGCTTGTTTCCACATCAGTTGAGATGGTCTTTTGGTACTTTTTGTTTGTTTCGTTTTTGTGGTAAAGTACACAGATTGATTTTCTAATGTTGAACTACCTTGCATTCCTGATATGAATCCCAATTACCACATTTATGATTTTCTTAATATTTGTTTTATTATGTTCACTAGAATTTTGTTGAGAGTTCTTGTATGTATGTTCATGAGAGATACTTATCTGTAATTGTATGTGTGTGTGTGTGCATGTGAGCGTGTGTGAGAGAGATATCTTTGCTTGGGTTTAGTATCATGGTGATGCTGGCTTTGTAGAATTAGTTAGGTATCATTCCTTTCTTGTCTACATTTTGGAGTGTTCGAGTAGAGCTGTTACCAGTTCTCTGAAATGTTTGGTAAAATTCCCCAGTGAAGCCATCTAAGTCTGTGCTTTTTATTTGCTAGCAGTTTTATGATGACATCTTCAGTCTTTTCTTTTGTTATTGGTCTATTTAGATTGTCTCACTTTCTTGTATTAGTTTAGGTCAGTAATGTTTTACTAGAAAACTATCCATTTCTAACAGGTTTTCAAGTTTGTTGGAGTACAGTTTTTCATAGTATTCTTTTTTGATTCTCTTCCCTTTGTTTCTTGCATTCTCTCCTTCCTTATGTGGTCAGTGTATTTCCTATATTATATTCATTATCAATTATTAATACTTGTTTGTTTCTGAAAAAATTTGTTACACTATATCTTGTGAACAATATTTCAGTGCTGTGCAACAGCTGTTTTTCCTGAAGAAGTTACTCCATTTTCTTCTGTTATCTGTTTTTGCTGATGAAATGTCTGATATTAATCTAATTTTTGTTATTTTGTAGATAATCTATTTTTTCTCCTTAATTGTTTTTAATAGTTTCTCCTTAACCTTAAGAAGATTTTTAATTTTACTCTAATGAGCTTATACTTCATTTTTCAGGTTTTTAGATATACGCTTAGGCATGACAGAGATGACCATGAAAATTTGTTTTTCTTCCATAGTATAGTGTTGTCACTAGAAAGCTGCTGCTCCCACAGGGGCTACATTTCTGAGCCTTTTCCCTTGCTTCCATGAGGTTGTTGCTGTTCATATAAGCCTGTTTTTGCCTGTATACGCCCATGAAATAAACTCAAATAAAGTAACTAATAAAGTAAAATAAATAAATTAACAAATATAAAATAATATATCTCAAATTCAACAGTATAATTTACATTGATATTTCCCTGGAGAATACACAAAGTTTGAGTAGCTTGGTTTACACAATAATTTGTGAGTGGAAATAATGTATGTCACTTCCTGGCCAAGGCGGTTAGGAAGTAAATGGGCATGCTCTGCTATTTCCTTCCTTTAACGTCTGTATGAGAAAACATTAAAGTCCTTGAAGATGGCAGAACCACAGGTGTAAGGAGATAGGGTCCCTGAATTCATTCCATGGGAAGAATCTCTCATCTAGGAATATTGCTGTGAGTAAAAAACTTAAGTCAATGATATTTGGGGGCTTATTTGTTGATAGTAGTTAGCATTCCTTTAGTACAGCAGAATTCATTGGACTTCTGTATCTACCAAAAATGTTTCTCTTATGCTGTTATATGTATTTATATATATATATTTGTTGTCATCATTAGATGCAGTTGAATCAGCTCTGACTCATAGCAACCCTATCTACAACAGAATAAAACATCACCTGGTCATGTCCCATCTTACTATATTTGAGCCCATCATCATTGCAGCCATTGTGTCAGTCCATCTTGTTGAGGATCTTCCCCTTTTCACTGACCCTCCACTTTACCAAGTATGATATTTTTCTCCAGGGAGTGGTCCCTTCTGACAACATGACCAAAGTAGGTGAGATGAAGTCTGACCATTCTCGCTTCTAAGGAGCATTCTGGCTGCACTTCTTCCAGAACATATTTGTTCATTCTTTTGGCAGTCCATAGTATTTTCAGTATTCCTTGCCAATACCACAGTTCAAAAGCATCAACTCTTTTTCAATCTCCTTTATTCATTGTCCAGCTTTCAGATGCATATGAGGCAACGAAAAATACCATAGCTTGGGTTAGGCATATCTTAGTCTTCAAAGTGAAAAGTTTGCTCCTCAGGACTTTAAAGAGGTCTTCTGCAGCAGATTGTCCCAGTGCCATACAATATCTGATTTCCTGACTGCTGCTTCCAGGGACGTTGATTGTAGATTCAAGTGAAAGGAAATCTTGACAACTTCAGTCTTTTCTCCATTTATCATGATGCTGCTTATTGGTCTAGTTGTGAAGATTTTTGTTTTCTTTATGTTGAGGTTTGATCCATACTGAAGGCTGTAGTCGTTGATTTTCATGAGTAAGTGTTTCAGGCCATCTTGCCTATCAATAAGCAAGGTTGTGTAATCTGCATTATCACAGATTAATGAGTCTTCCTCCAATCCTAGTTTCTTGCGGACAGCATGTTGATGGGTCGTGTTTTCTTACCCAGCCTGCAACTCTGTCTTTTGCGTGATGTATCAAGTGGAAGCTGAAGAAAATTAAAACAAGTCCACAAGAGCCAAACCAGTCATTTCAGCTCCCTGCCTAGGATGTTGATGTTGATGCATTTCATTTCATTTTGACAACTTCCTGTTTTCCTAGATTGATACTTTACCCATTTCTCTGTTCCAATTATTAGTGGATGTTTGTAGTTGGTTCTTCCTATTTTGAGTCATGTCTCATCAGCAGATGGAGGTTCCGAAAGCTTTACTCCATCCACGTTATTGAGGTTGACTCTAGTTTGAGGAGGC